TATATATATACAATTACAGTCACGTCAGAGTAATGGAACAGTGATTTCTTTTCCCTTTTGCTGTCAAATGAAAACATTTGGTTTTAGCATCAAGAGACGGATGAGGCAAGAGCAACACTTCGGCTGCTACTTCCCAGTGTTTACTTCTGGAACTGACACACAACTTAGAGATCAGCATTATTTGTAACCAAACAACAGGTATAACCGTTAGAGATGCAGCTGCCAGGAAAAAAGACAAATAGGAGACATGGATGCAGTTAGAGAGGATGAAGCGAGGACAGAGGATGCAGATGCTTTTTCCAGGCTTTGAGTGCAGCCTTTTACAGTTTTGTTTTGTTTTTTGAGGATTAATCCTTTTGGTCTTTTCTTTAGCAGATAAAGTTCCTCTGAACTAAAGACTTTCTTTAAATTCAGATGTTTCCAGAAGTGAAGCTCAAGCAACTCTTTGGCAGATYGGCAGGGGCTCGGATTGTGCCGTTTTTGTTTAAAAACAAACAAGAAAAACCCTTGGTGATTTGCACGTCAGAGTTGTCAAACCTCCTCCCAGCATGTTAAATTTAGACKGGTCATGCGCAGCGTCACGTTCAGCGGCCTCGGGTGGAAGTGCTGATAAGAACAGCAGGACCTGGACACCATGAACTCCTCGGTATAACAAAAATATTTTTGAGTTAATTAGGAGTTCATCTGCCTGACAGCTGAAACTCAGCCTGAATCAGATCCCGTAGAGGAAAGTATTTGAAACATAGCAGCTGCACYACAACAGAGTGGGTGAAGAAGAAGCAGATCTGAGTGTTGCAATGACTCAAAGTCCAGTCCTCTACCTGACTGAAACCCCGCAGAGTGACCTTAGGAGCTGCAGAGACGATATCTGCTCACTTTAAAAAAACTCAAGTACCAGTAATGTAAAGAAGAGTGGGCAACAATTAATTTACAACAATGTGAGAGACTGGAAGATAACTTCAAGTTGTTCTGTATATGTAACCATAGAAATGTAGATTATGTTAATTATTGATAAACTGACTGCCGTTAATGTTAATGATGCTTTTGTTTTGTGGTGTTTTCTCTTTTTCAGGGTTGAACAATGTCCGAACGCCAACACGTGTCCCCATGTTTCACATGTCCTCCGGCCCGTGGGGGAGTGGTGGAGAAAACCTGAAGTATGCCGTCTTAATGGGAGCAGCCTTCGTTGGTACTCTGACACTCGTGAGTACGATTAGTCCGTCGAATACTTCGCTAAAGATTCAGAGATGTTTTGGCAACAAATGTTAGGAATGAGTTTCATCTGTTTGGGAAGGTTTTTTTTTTT